GCAGGAATGTGAATTCATGTCAGTCTGCTTCCACCAAGCTGATTTGCATATGAAACAGGTTGAATAAACTGGCCTCTTCTTCTCTGTCTCTGACTATGAGCGTGCTCCCATGAACACCATGAATCTGCTGTTTACAGCAGCTCCACCTCACTCTGTTTACTGCCTTAATCACAGGCTGTGACAGTGTGCACGTTTGTGTGCATGTGCGGGACCGGTGCAGTGTTTTTTTGGGGTGAAATCGGGAAACTTTTTTCCATTAGCTCTGGTTTGACTGCTCCCATTTGTTAGCATAGCATCTGCTGGAAGGCCCAAGGAGAGCAGAGCTATCTAGCAGCTTCTGGGTGATTATTCATGTGGCTGCGCTCCTCCTGGAGCTGCTGCTGCTGCTGCTGTGCTGCTGCTCGGGTCTCTGCCGACTCTCTGCTGTACCAGTTGTCAAAGTGCTGAGGGAGCCTGGCACCACCGTTCTGATTCAAAATGAACAGAACCGCACAGATAAATCTCCCTCTCCATGCAGGGTGGAGGAGCAGACAGACTGCTTTGAATGTAATGCAAACAGTGAATGAAAACCTCCTCATGTTGCTCATAACTCTGCTCTACAATACAGCTCATAATCATGGGGAAAGTGTTCTAAAATAAATCTCCACACATCACATTTGACTTACAGGTACACTCTGTGAAGCCTCATCCTCCACATCACCCTGCAGCTTTAATTTAGACTCATTTACATCAAATCAAAGATAAAACTGGATCTTTCCTCTGATGTCTGAACAGCAGTGCGCATGCTCATGGAACAGAAGACAAAAAATGTCTCTTGCTGTAATAACGCCCCTTGTTCCAGGTAAACTGTGCTACAGACACACTGAACTGTCCAGTGGCGTCCATCTGTCCATTGATCTGCCTGTCCGTCCCAATAACCACTTCAGATCAAGATGTTCCACAGTGCCATTAAATCTGCTGTGGATATTCAAGATCCTCAGACTCTTAAAAGGACCAGTGTTAGATAAAAACGTTGCTCCGTTAAATGGTTAGCTATTAGGCTAGATGTTTATTGTTTCCAGTCTTTATGCTAAGCTAACAAAGAGAGATGCTGTGTTGGTGCTGTCATCTCACTTTCCACATCATCTCCCTGTCGACCACCTGATCTTAACCTCTAGTGGCAACAAACACTATTATTAATAAATAACAAATGGTCTCATTCTGTGTCATTTCAACAAACAGGGAAATTCTTGAAACAGGTTGAAATCATCAGGCTACATAATGTGGAGATGCTTTTGCAGTCAGTGTATTTCAGTTACACAATCACCTACTGATTTGTTTTTTAAATTTAATCTACAAAAATGTCAGAACATACTGAAAAACACTCATCAAGGTGACACAGTTCAAAACCTAAAGAACCTCCGAGAAGCTGGAGCCACAGAACATTTTAAATTTTCCTTGGTAAATTCCTCAAAGGATTTGTTGGGCATCCATTTAATTATCTGACAATCAAATGTTCAATTCATCGCTGAATCGTTTCAGCTCTGAGAACACTGGTCACAGCTTCAGACTGTAAAACGGTCCTGCTTTGACAGAAAATCCTGTTGAATATGAATTCAACGGTTCTGTAAGTCAGACTGATGCTGTGGCCTGATTATGGGCCACAATCAGACTATGTAGAGATCACACACACATCACCACAAACATATCTGTGCAGTAACATACACAAGTTGCTTTCATTCATGCAGAAACAATTACACATAAACATTATGCAGCTGAAGTCTGAACCGTGCACAGCAGCAGACTCATTTACACAAACAGACAGGCGCAGAGCCAGCGACCAGGGGAGGACATCGTTTTATCACTTAGCAGAAGTGTTCATTTATAAGTGAAACCACCCAGATGTCTGCCTCTCTGCTTCTTTCTCTCTCAACCTCCCGCTTCTCTTTCTCTCCCACTCTCTTTATTCCTCTCCCATCTCCAGTAGAAGTGAAATTACTCTCCAGCCAGGCAGCGAGGTCAGAGTGTCTGGCCTCTGTTATTTGTCTTCTTCTCCTCTACAACGTGTGTGTGTGTGTGTGTGTGTGTCTGTGTGAATGTACAAGAGCAGGAGAGAGAGAGTCTCAGCTCAAACAGCACATGAACAGCAGAATTAGTCTGATTCCCTCTAGTTTACAACATCCACTCATTCCATGCTCTGTGCTTTTTGACACCAGTCGGTTCAGTTATGTACAGTACACGGTCGCTCAGGACAACACACACATTCAGCTAGTACACAATAAGTACAACACCTTTTCACTCATGGTTATCAGTCTATGAACATATAGGAATGTCTTGACTTTTGTGGAATGAACAGGTGGCTTTGGCAGGCTGTTGTTTTGGGTTGTAAACAGGAATATAAGGGCCCATAAAATTGCATTGTTAACACTTGGGGGGTATTTACTAAGGTTTTACAGCTCATTTTTGGCATTAAACAGTGAAATTGTGTTCATATTAACTAAGGAGTCTCAGTGGGGTTTTATGGTGGACAAACTGGAGACATGTGGAACCAGATGAATACAGTATGTGTGCTGGGTCTCAGGCAATATGTAGTTTAAGGAGTTCTTGTTCAGGACACAAAAATCAGAGAGGAGAGAATTTTATTCAAACAAATACCCTCAGCGCCTGATTTACCACGGCTCGACAGAGCGACATGGCTGAAAATTCCCCTCCGGAGAAAGCAGGCGGAGGGGAGAAAGCAGGCGTACAGTCTGCGGCCCTGCTGTCAGCGTGGCAGCTGTCCGTCATCTGAGACCTTGTTAGAGTTAGGAACATGTTTGAGGAGGGAGAGGGTGTTTGTAAATCACATCACTCGCCAAGACGGAGATGTGAGGGATGTTTACAGGCTTTCAGCTCAAACCACGCCAGCAGACTAGCCTGAAAAGCGACTTGACTGGCAGCAGACGACGTTTCTGTGACCACAGTAAAGTTCAGTCGCTGTAAGCTTAGACTTTTTTCTACACATCCTCTCGGACCACACGTGCACAGTAGCCTGCAGGCAGCAGATCCTAAATGGAGGGTGATTCAGATGAACAGAGCCACAGCTGCGCTCATTTACATCATCAGTGTTGGCAAATACACTGTTAAGTAAAAAAAGCTGTGGTGCCACAATATTTTAGGCACCTGGCAGTGATTTGTGACAGGCTTAGTAAATATCCCTCTTGGAAGTTGCTCATTAAAAATTGTAAAATTCTCCTTAAAGATCCTCCAAAAATCCTTCTTTGATACCTGAACGAAACAGAGTCAGGTCAGGCTTCAAAATCACATCCCAGCAGCTTGGACAAGTTATTTTAGCAAATAAATATTCTCTAAGTTCATTTCTATCCACCTGTTTTCATGGTGAAACTTTCCACAGAGAAAAGACACAACTAAAGATGATGGAACCAGATTTTTATTTTTATTACAAGCTGACTTCTTTCTTGTGAGCTGCCCTGCTGCACTCACCATCACAGGTCTCCACATTAAAATCACTGTCTGTTATTAAAAAGGTATCAACAGCAAAGAAAAGCTCTATTTTAAGTAGCTTGGTTAGTGAAAATTGCAGCCATCGTCTCCTGCTTATCCAGAGTCCCAACATTCATGTCCCCAGGAATATTTTCCAACTCGTCCTGGAGGATCAGGAGGTGCCAAGGCCAAACGAGACAATCTCTCCATCTTCTTCTGGCTCTACCCCAGGTCTCCTACCAGATCCCTCTCCACCACAACACCCACACCACCAGTCCGCCTGTCACTCTCGTGCTCCAGTTTACCCTCACTCGTGAACAAGAACCTGAACTACCTCAGTTCCTTTACCTGGGGCAGCAGCTCACACCAAATCTGACTGGTCGGTGACCACGGCCAGAAAGATGACAAAAACTCACACAAATTCAAAAAAAGGCCAAATCCCGTGTGAAGCACCAGTGAAGCACCACGAGGTGTCACTGTAGCTGCTCAGGTTACAAGGCACTGCTTCACATTTTACTTTGTTGGAAACATTATATATCTTTAAACCACATGAACAGAAACAGAAGTGATGACTTAAATCTGAAACCAAAAACTGCTTAGTATTAGTTGTAGTAGTATGAGCTTCCTTTCCTCCAGACAGCAGGCACCTCTGCCCCCCCCCCACCTTCTCTCTTTCCTCTTACTGGGCTCTTAACTCATCACTATCCATCAGTTAATCGCTCTGGTGTGTGTGTGAGTGTGCTCTCACGTGCACATGACTTTCCTCCTGTGTTTCTATGTCCAAGCACTAACTGTCACTATATGTGTAGTTTTTGTGTACCTACGGGTGCGTGTAGGCTTTTTATGTTTACAGAAATGCGACTGTTTGTGCCAGTGCTAAACCTTTGACCTCCTGTCTCTGCAGGTCCATTTTCATCACTATTTGAAATCCATAGCAGATCCATTCTGCTGCAGCTCTCTGTCTTCACATTACATCAGCTGAATAAAGCACTCAGCTCGCTCTCTGCCTCGTTTGGCCCCCTCATGACTGATATTCCTCTTAATGGCCACGGTGCTCGATACTTCACGTCCTCAGAGGAGCTGCACATGCAGCTGTCATCCTGCAGCGCTAAACTGATGCCGTGATCAGAGAGGAGCTCATACCTGAGACGTGGAATGTGAGGCGGTTCATCAGCTGCAGATTTCTAATAGCGCAAACCTTTTGGCGCCTCGCCGTCATGGCGGCAGACATGTGTGGGGTTCTGATATGCAAACTGTCAAAGTGTGGAAATCTCATTTGCCAGGTCGCTTTTGTTTGTGGAGGAGGTTTCAAAGACACGTTGCTTCTGTGACAGTGACGGCACTGGAGGACTAACATTAGTTTTTATCCACTGGCTGCTTTTAGACTGTGTCACCAAGGTAGATGGGAGTTCCCTGATAGACTAGTGGTTAGGGCACAGTGCTCCCACCGCTGCGGCCCGGGTTCAAGTCAAGGTTGTGTCAGGAAGAGCATCTGGCATAAAACATGTGCCAAATGTCAACATGCGACCCCTAACGGGAAAAAGCCCAAAGTGACATTCATTCAACTCCTTAAACAACAACTGGCCATGAACCTTCTGTAGATAGTCATGGTCCCAGGAGGACCATGACCATGACTGATTTTTTTAAATCACCCAAAGGACAAACTATATGTTTAGACTTTATGAACAATCATGGTAACGTACGTTCATACCCAGAAGGAAAAACAATGCATGTGTGTTTCATTTTATCAGTGGGGGCTTTGAAGAAAATCTTTCCTTTTAAATATTTTATTAGTTCAATCTTACATGAGGAACCAATAATATTAATAAATGACGCTGTACATTTTAGGACTGTAATCTTCCCATGATGAAAACGGACACTAACAAAGTCTGAGTTTGTGCTTATTTCACAAACACGATGACACTGTCTCAGGTTGTAAAGATGCTTCCAAGTCTGAGTTTGTGCTTATTTCACACTGTCTCAGGTTGTAAAGATGCTTCTACAACTACACACTGCAGCTTCAATCACAGCACCATCTGCCTTTCACGCTGCAGTTTAGCACCAAATCCAACCCCGACACGCTCACTGAGTGTAACCATGTGTCAGCTGACTGCCTGCAGTGTGGAGTGAGGGGTGTAAATGTCTAACCTGCTGCTCTCCCAGCTCTCTCTTCAGCCTGTTCTGCCACTGCAGCGCCTGCATCACGATCGCCTCCCACCTCCTCTCCAGGTTGATTGACAGCAGCTGCAGGGCCTCTCGGTGCTGCTCCGCCTCTGGGCCGACCTCCGCCATGGGGCCCGACTGTCCCAGAGGTGGGGATTGGAGAGAGAGTTTTATCAAGAAAATGATCAAGTTGTGATCATTTCTGTTAACAAATTAGTTTGTTTGCTCTGTTTGCTGGTGTCAGTCAAAAAACCTTTTCTTTAGATTATGGGACAAGTTTTTTTGAATCACGAGGGTCAAGTCCAAGTGAAGTGCTAAAGCCAAAGTCAAGCTGTGTGTGTCCAGCTGTGCTGTCATGAAATCTGTGGTTTCTTTTGCTCACCTGGCTCTGCTGCAGCAGCTTCTGGCAGAGTTTCAGGACAGAGGCCACTCCTCTGCGTCGGGCTCGTACCTCCGAACACAGAGACTGGTGGGCGACGTGAAAGACAAGAGCAAGAAGGAAGAAGCAAGATCAGCAAAACTCAGCACAAGCCCCTATTCATGCATTAGCATGATTAACATGGACAATAACAATAATCCTGAAGAATTTAAGCTCAGCCTGAAACTGTGGCATTAAGTGATGTTTTGTCACAATTCGCCGACCTCAATAAAGGTGGTGACAGCCGTTCACTGTCTCTAAATGGTATAAAATAGCATCTAAAAACTGAATGTCAGTCACCTGTTCTTCCTCCTAGAGTGTTGCAATTTACGGCAAAGTACAGAAGTGCATTCCCGCCGAAACGTCGGAGGGCGCACTATCTACATTGTGAGCTCTATTCAGTTTGCAGCTCAGCATGTGAGAACGCACAGGAATGGATTTGCAAGAGCAGAATCATATTTGAGAGAGAGGGAGGACAGAAGCGTGAGTTAACAGGTGACTTGAGCGAGCAGCAGGGATCCTCCCTCGCTCTCAAATGTGAATGTGCTCTTACAAATCTGTGCCCGCGTGCTCTCAGTCTGATTTGCAAACTGAATAGTGCTCGAAACATGTTCTGTATAATTTCAAAACTCTAGGCACCAACAGAATTTCACACAAAACCCAGTGAGAGCATGTGGGAGTGCAGACTCAGAAATGAGGCGCACATGGCCGGAGTTCTGCTGTCAAACATGTCTGCGTGCTCTCCGATGCTGAGCTGCAAACTGAGTAGCAATGTGCTTTGTGGATCCTCAAACATTTTGGTGAGGATGTATTTCCATAGCCATGTCTACATCAAAACCATAGCGTATACCACCTGCAGCATCTCGTGTGAGCCCCAAATGACACTCACATTCATGTCTACTCGCACAGTGGAGGCACAGTGAGCAGCGAACAGGAAGGAACACCTCGCAAGTGACTGAAAACAACAATCTTCTGTATTGTGCAGAACTGGATCATGAAACCCATGACAGAACACAAGAAAACAACTGAAGAAAATACACACAGCACAAGACAGATCACACGTTTTACATGATGAATTTCCCTATGTTGGTGGAGTTCTGGTTGTAACTAGTGAGGTTTCAGTGTTTTGTTGGATTCCTGTTGAGTGTTTACACGCACAGCCTCAAAAAACTGGAGGAGCTGCCACATGGGCAGAGAAGACAGCTGGACCGATTGAAACGGGAGCGTATCTGTTATACTCCTGCAGCACAGACTGGTTCCTTTTTATCACTCCTTGTTTGTATTTATAAACCTTAAAGCCTTTGTCTTTGTACTATTACTAGTACTACAGCATGTAGCACGTCTGGTGCTTCCGTTATCTATTGCTCAGACGAATCTAAACTCACTGTGCTCCTGTACAGTGAAGGATCATTACTGTCTGATCGCCTGACTACCTGTGTTTCTGACGCTTCAGTCTTTGTTGTAGCCACACCCCCACGCTTCGGTATCATTACTAGTGGTTGGAATGATGAGCAAAAACAGGGAAATGGGACCCAAGTTGTAACAAACCTGAATTATCCTGTGTAGGCACAGTAAGAGACAACAAGGACAAATAAAAGCTAAATGTACGTGTATTCCTTTGTTTCTATTCTCTAAAGTTCAGTGCTGTTAAATTCATAACAGGCCATTAGCATATAGTCAGATTCAGTATACAGATCCTTGATCAGCAGTAACAGGGCATAAAATAAATGACAACAGCCAGTATGCCCCCCCACCCCCCACTGTAATAAATGCAAAAAAGACAGAGAAACACATGGATTGGCAGGGCCCATTAAAAATCGCTATATGCTGATGAGTATCCACACGCAAAAGGTCAGTGAGTGTGTGTGTGTTTGCATGTTTCAGTGTTTACTCATGCAGGCGTGTGCACGAACGTGTCTAGATGTGCATGTGTGTGCAAACATATGCATGTACTTCTGACTGTGTGTGTGTGTGTGTGTGTGTGAGACAGAGAACAGAGGGGAGAGCCTTACTCCTCTGTGGCAGGGACCAAACACGTCCAAGCCCCAAACTACTTATGCTAATCCTGCCTGCTCGCTGAAAAGCACTTCCTTTACATTTTCTTTACATTTTTCCAATAAATATTAAACACTATTACAATGAAATGGGATTCTCTCTCGCTTGCACACACACGCACACACACACACACACACACACACACACACACACACACACACACCACTGCTTTTCTCTTCTTCTGTCTTTCATCTCCTCTTCCTTGCTCTCTTCAGTTTAGCATATTTGCAGCTTGCCCGGTTGTCTAAACAGGAGATGGGGATGCAGAATACAGCAGGCAGGATCAAGGGGACAAGCCTGTGTGTGTGTGTGTGTGTGTGTGTGTGCGGGGTTGCAGATAAATGTATTCCAAACAGGAGCTGTGTTACGTTGAAGGAGGAGGCTCTAAACAATAACAAAACGGCTGAGCGATACTGCGCCAAATAACAGCAGCAGACAGTGGAGCGAGGCCAGCAAGATGAATTAAAGTCGACTGAAGCTGCAGTGACGTTGGTCAGAACTCTAATCTGATCTACAAAGTCTGAAACAACAGTCTGGAACATTCAAAACTGCTTTCTCTTTAAATGTATGTTTTATTGGATTTGTTATCAGTCTGAGCTGGAAACCTGAGAAGGTTCAGCCTTGGATGGTGAAGACAAATGACTGCAGGACCTCATACTACACTGTCCTACACTAGTCACACAACTTGGACAATCCAGGCAGCAAACCTGGCGGCAAACAGGCTGTCAGACTCATCTGAGCCAGGTTTTCAGCCGTTTGTGTCACATGCGTGTTCAATATTAAATCAAGCCAGATGTGGACACAGCGCAGTACTGGCTCACACACCTTCACACATACCTGTGACCCGATGTGTATTTTTAGATTTTTAAGACCAAACTATTTATTTTGCACTCAGATCTGAGCACTGCTGCTGGTGTAGAGCAGCTCCGGCAGAAGGCATCTGGTGTGCACAGTGATGGAGGACTCAAGCTGCTGCTCTCACCACTGTAAAGTGATTCAGATACATCTGGTGCTGCGCTCACTGATGACTGTTTCCTCCGGGTGGAGAACAAAATCAACCAATCAGAGCTTTGCAGGTGGGATTAGGGTGGGGATGTTTCTGTACCAGAGCCAGAAAAGTAGCGACAGCATTCAGGTTGTTTTAAAGTCACCTTACATAAATAACCACGACTTGCACACCAACACCACTTCTAGCAACTGCTGCACACAGGTTATATGTCAAATGAAAGCGATGACAGCAGGATGGATACGCCACAGCCTAGTCGTGGCGACCTTGGCCCGAGGTTTGGCCACTACCAGCTGATACTTATGAGCGGGTTCCATTTGTTTCTCTAATGCACAGACAGGTGACAGCACATTCTCCCTTGACAGTTTCGTGTTATTCCACTGAACAGGCTCTGATGTATCCAGATAATCATTGCTACTGTTTTATGAAAACCTTAAGGCATTCAGAGTGTGAGAGTTCTCAAGAACCATAGAATATGTTTGCTGAGAAACACTGAATGTACATGTAACTTTGTTTACAAGAAATGAGACTCAAAGACACTTTTGGTCTCAGTTTGGCAAAGTGCAAGTGTTTGACTTATGGTCTATATTTCAGTTTTGAGTTACACACAATTAAGTTTTGTCAATTAAAACCATTTCAAAAAGCAGTTTATCATTTTTCAAACCTGTATCATAAATGCAGTTTAGTCAGCATCAGATAGCAAAACTTTTGTCTGAGAGTTTATTTTTAGACCAAGAGAAAGTCTCTATTGTTCCTGCACTGCTGGATTTTATGCACTGATCCCTCTCTCTCCTCTCTTTGTGTGTCTCTTTCTCTTTCTCTCTGGCCAGTCGAGCCTGGCTGGGCCCATATTGACTCAGAGGGCTCTACAGACACAGTCAGACAAATATTTGTTAAAAAGCTTTTCTTCCAAAATGCATGGAAAGCTGTGGAGTGGCCGCAGAGAAAGAGAAAGAGATGAAGGATGTAGAGGGAGGGACGAGGCGGGCAGGAAGTCTGACAACAAGTGTGAGATAGGTCGATGGGGAGGAAGAGCAGAGGCAGTGTGAGGACAGAGAAAGAAGAGAGACAGAAAATTAAGTTACTTAAAATGAAGCTGGGAGACAAGGTAGGGGTAAACAGAAAGACAACAGAGACCAGCAGGAAAAAAACAAGAGACAAGCAAGAGAGGCAGGAAATGAAAAAGTTCAAAAGGGGAAATTGTTGATTTATTCACATGTGAAACTGGGAAACCAGGGTAAAGACTGAAACCTCTGTTGTGAAACAATCTTCTGTACTGGTGAACACCTGAGTGTAATGCCTGGTTCAGACTATACGTTTCTTTTTGTGATGGTCACCAAGTCAGATCACATGATTATAGAGTCAGATGAGGGAGATGACACACTACACGTTGGTGCTCGACAGATCACAGCCTGGTGTCGTTCATGACCTGAAGGTGCCAGGGACCAGGAGAAGAGTGTGTGTGATACTGGCTGCTTGTGTTCAGAAAAGCACTAAAAAAGAAGACGAAGAGATTATATCAGTGGACCCGTGTGTGGATCGCATGAAAAGAGCAGTAGGCTATGTGTTGTCTATGCTTCACAGAGCAGAGGGTAATAAAACCAAAAACTAGAGAGCTAGTTCGACAGAGTAGCGACGTCACAAGGCTGACAGTCAACATGCCAACGTTAGCCGTTATCACTGTGTTGTTTAAAGAATATGGTTCAGTCCATTATGCCAACAATGTGAACAAAAGAGTCATCTGTGCTCCTGTCGGTCATCGTCGCCCACCACGTCGTAGATGATGAAAACCATTTGACATGCCTGACTTTGTGTCGGGACATCATGAGGTGTCCCAGACACATTGGTTGTCCATTACTAGGACAAACTATACGAGATAAAATGGTGGACTGTCGTTTGCGACACCATTTGTCATTTCTGAAGCCCTACAGCCATCGGGTCGGCCATAGGACCATTGTCTATCAGCTTTCACATGAGATTATATAGA